ACATTTTCCTAGAAGAGAAAGGCGATTCCAAACGCGCACTTGAACAAATAGGAGAATCAACCAACTTGGTAACAACATTGCTAGATGGCAGCATGATGATAGTTCTAAAAAAACAACGAAAGACATTATTTCAACAACAAGAAAAAACAACAAAAACCGATCCCCTTCAAAGCGGGAAAAGAGAAGAGTGAAATCTCACGAGACGAAAAATGTCAAAATGATTCTGCCCTAAAAACGAAGAACGTTACTTTAATTTCTACGCCATCGCTACACAAATTAAAAATGTTATCTTTTCGATTTGATTGTATGAATTTCGGTTATAATTTATTTATCAGCTGTGACACGTTGCCAGTGAAACATTATTATTATTTATGGTAATATTTTTCGCAATAAGAATAATTTACAGTACGGTTAAGAGGGAGGGGGGGGTAGTGAATGCTAAATGTAGCATCAGAAAAATGCTAAAATGTAGCATTTTAAATATAATTACAAGTCGTTGATCGATTTGAATATGCTGCACTGAAAAACCGGCTAGGGCAAAAATAACTAAAATTAAAATGTGTATAAATTCACATTTTAAAATATAAAAATTACAAGGCTACCTAGTCTTGCCTCGTAACTCACGTTTTCTCATATGTTGTTCAGTTCTCGTTCGGGGTCTTACTTTAAGTTTATAATTATTGTATTATTTATGTCGAGGTGTTAAAATTGGTTCACGGTTGCAATGTGCGCACAATACGCACAATGTTAATTTCTTTTCGTAGATCTAAAATGAAGAGCAATTCGAAACAACAGCTAATTTTCCTAAAAATTCTCGGAATTCCCGGTCGAAACGCTGCGCGTTTCATTCTTAGGCAAACTGCCGCACGGAGGGACCGATACGGTTACCACATATCTAATTAGGTCTAATTAGAAACAACTATATGCGTTTTGTGCAGCAAACTTAGCGAACGTTGCAACGCAAAACAATGTAGATGCCCTTACTATTTATACGCCAACATTTTAATTTCAAAAACATATAATTTGGTTGACCATATCTGGCAATTTTAATAATTTCGTATCGCTACGTTTCGACCATGGGTTTTGGTCCTTTTCAAGCAAGTGTAACTGTATTAATCGTGCATAGGATCACGTGTATTTAGTGGTGTTGTGAGGATGGTCATTACACGTGATCCTATGCACGATTAATACAGTTACACTTGCTTGAAAAGGACCAAAACCCATGGTCGAAACGTAGCGATACGAAATTATTAAAATTGCCAGATATGGTCAACCAAATTATATGTTTTTAATTTTTGCTGGCGACCCTGAAGAGTTTCTGATTATTTTAATTTCAGTTATTTTTGGACCTTAGCCGGTCTTTCCGTGCAGATACGTCGAATAACTTTGCATTACCTCTCTATTATCTATTCAATGACGAAGAAAAGATTCTCAATACTGTTTCCTAAAACTTGCGCTCAAGTCGAGTAACAAAACTGCAAGCACTCCTATATTTCTGGCCAAATGACTCGATGATCCATACATTACTCGTTGTTTACACGACGCGTCGAACATAATTTACATTGTATGCATGCAGATGTGAATTGCTATACTTTACACGTAGACGCCCGGCCCTGATACGCGTTTTCATCCGCCGGTATTCCAATTGATGAACGACTCTTGGGATTGTCCGTGTAAAATGCATAAATATACCCGTGCATTAAAGCAACAGAAACGACATTACGGACGAAAGAGACGCCCGCCGATAATGATTGCTTACGACATTGATCATCGGGCGTGTAATTTCACCCGGATAACGCTTCGCTGATCGCGACGATCCGGCGGAATTTCACTTTCCAGGCCCGCCGGGATCAGGTATGTACGTCCCGCACGGGAAATGCTTTCTCGATTACCCGTTACGCCAAAGCGAATCGATTTATGTCATATTTCGCGGGCAAGATTCGCCTCGGTCGCGGCGCGTTGCCGGCAGAATTAAGGCAAGGTCAGGGTCAACGGATTAAGGCCATCCGCGTGATAAATCTCGGCGCGAACGAGTGGATCAGCCGGGGTTCTCGTCGAACCGTCCGGTCCCAACTGCGGACGGGACCGGGGCAGGTGTGCCGGAAATACACTCGACCTCGCCGTGCCTCTCGACACGCCGAAATTTATTCGGTTCATTATGCGCGGTTGATTAATACGGACACGCCCGCTGTTTCGATGCAGTCAAATTTATGGATTCATTAAAGCGACGTAAATCTCGCCGGGGTCCTCCTCGCGCGCGAGAGACCCGAGCTGTCGACGGCGCGGCGCCGCGTCGGGCCACTCGCGCGTTGTTTTACGATCCGTGAGGAATTTTAATTGCGCGGAATCGTCACGCGTTCGTCGATTAATTTACAATTCAGCTCCATTCGCGTCGTGATCGTCGCTGATTTATGGCTCGTCAGCGTCCAGAGCGCGATCGGCGCGACCGGGGGTGCAGACACGCCGGGGGTTTCGTCGGGGATTATCGGCGATTTTAATGAGAGATTTTGCGCGGCTCGTTATCCGATAGTATCGGTCGGACAGTAGTCTCGGCTATGTAGCTCTCAGTGCGATAAATTAAGACGAGTATGTTTAGACCGCGTGTCCTCCAGAGAGAGAGAGAGAGAGAGAGAGAGAGAGAGAGAGAAAGAAAGAGACGTGGAAAAAGTTGCGAGTCTTTGCTCCTCGCCTCGAGCCTAACACTATAAACGTGCTCGATGATCGCGCGCGATATATATACCCGTTCGTCGATACTCGCGTGAGCACTTTCACTCTCCGGACGGACCTTACGAATCCGTTAACCGGAGCTTTTCCTCAAGTTTATACTCGCGTCATTATATGCTAATGCGGCCGGGCCTGTGTGAGAATCCGCTCGAGGCTTTTGCCGGCTCGCCGCGGGCGAAAGGCTCGAAAGCGACTTTAATGCCGTCCTCCTACCCCTGGCGGGGCGGAAGAGCGAGAGAGGCGCCGGAACGTTTGTAATTAAGGTCGTGGTAATGAGGAAGGCAAGATCGTCCGCCGAGGCTCGTACGCATCCTCGCGACCGATTTCGACATTGTCTCGGCGCAATAGCGTCTTAAGCCCGCTGCAGACGATGCTATTTTTCCTGCTGGATTGCTTGCGATTTACTAAATTACTAGGAATCCTGAGTGCTGAATGGTGCAACGATAGTAATTTATTAGATTGCAAGCAATCCAGCAGGAAAAATAGCATCGTCTGCAGCGGGCTTTACTTTTACTTTTTATTGGACGTACTTTCGCTGCGTCGCGCGGCGCGCCGTCGCGGAATGAGTGGCGGAATTTTGAAAAGCTCGGGACGTCCCGGCGCTCAAGCCCGGTTTCCCTTCCACCGCGAGTCTCACGAATGACTCGTAAGGTCTGCCTCGAAGTGCCGGAGCACTTGGTCGTTTGTCACAACTTTGATTTTCGATCTAAAGGCCGAATCGGACCAGCGATCGCTGGCTCGGATTGGATTGGCGATTAACAATTGTCTTCTAGCCAATGAGAGCCGATTAAATCGCTGCCTGCTTTGCTCTCACTGGCTAAAGGAAAATCGTCGATCGCCAATACCAATTCAATCCGAGTCTACAATTGCTAGTCTGAATCGGTCTTTACGCACTTTTGCAATTAAACACCTCAAATTGAAATTTACTATCGAGGTAAAATGCACATGGAATTAGCTGAAAAAAATATTATTGTATTATTTATTTGCTTTCGTCAAGTTTAAACAATTTCTAATTTTCCGGCGACTTTTTTGTTTGCAAGTTGGTTACCGCGCTACGTATAATTATTTATAAATCAACTGGAGTGTTAGAGATCCGAGAGAGCTGTTGCGTTTCGCCTGTAATTTCGCAATGATTTCGGGCGATCTGCAAAATCATAGCCGCCGAAAGATGAAAGTGTGGCCGATTGATCGATTACTCTCGGGTCCGGATCGAAAGTACTTTTAGCGTATACTCTCGATATCCCTTTCGGATTCGTATACGTCCCCATTAAACTGCCATGGGAGATTTACCAGTCGTGTACCACTTCCGGTCGGTGCCTTCCCTACCACTCCGGTTGCAGCCTCCTTTTTTTTGCAGCCTCACGTAGCTCGCCCCCACAGCACGTTGTTGCGGCGCGATCACGGAGAAAGTAAAGGTCGTGAGTCCGTCTCGCGACCCTGAAGACCCTGAGAGAGGCGCGTTTGCTCGCTCGATTCTCGTCTTATCCTTAGAAAGCATCGTGCCTCCCCTCGCTCTTCCGCCTCGTCATCTTCTGATCACCTTCTACGTGTTGCATAGCGCATCCTCGTATGAAAGCCACCGCACTTTCATATTATAAGCTAATGTGAATTAATGGCTTCACGGACGAGCGGATCGCATTCACGAACAATATCTTAATAAATGTTGCGGAAGACACGGAGTAGACACTTTCAGGCGCGCGATTGTCACGTTCGAAAGGAGTCACGGTCATGATTAAAAGTCTCTGATCTCTCACATAATTCTTTTCTCACGAGATCTCCCGATTTAATATACGCTACTAACAGATATTAATTATTTATATTTATTTTTACTCAAAAAGATATACATCTATATGTAAATCTTGTTTTCTGTGCGTTCCGCAGAAAACTATGAGAGATTTTTAAATGAACAAAGAATAAATAAAAATAATTTTATCAACTTGTTTCGAAAACACGTCTGTAGGTTTAAGCGTTCGGAATAAATTCCAATGTTTTATCTTTCATAAATTTCACTTAAAGATTAATTGCGCTCCTGGGCAATTTTTTATTCCGATTTACATTTACATGTATTGCATATCTTTAATATACGATTATGCAATTTCAATAACAGTCAACAAACTTATAAACTTATAATTATATACATCACATCTGCTTAACGTTTTACATGAATTCTTTTTTTCTTGAAAACAGTTAATTTTCAATTTTAACGTCGTGGACAACGAGAAAAGTCTTCTAAATATGCAGGAAATTATATAAATTCGTAGCGTAGTACAAAATAATATTTATTACGTATAAAAAAATGTTCACATGTACACATCCCAATAATCAAACGATATTTACAAAGTAAGGTATTAATTACACATAATATTAATACGTAGCCATAGTAATTGTAAGAGGCTATGGATTATCCACACTGGAAAAAGATGAACGAGAAGGAAATATTATTTTTTCTTGTCCGTGTAACTTTCATTCTGGGATTCATTCCGAAATGGAATAACTCAGATGAAATAATTTGTTATAAATGTGACGTAGGCACAAACAGATTTAAGGGTTTTTAAAATTGATATTTAATTAATAATTTAATAATCTCTCGATTGACAAATGGATTACGATATTAATTTCCAATGAATAATTGACAAACGTAATTTTTCTTGGCGATGATCTGCTTCGAAGCTTGATTTAGCAAATCGTATAATCTCTAGAAAGTGATCTCTGCGTCATTATAAGTTTAATCGATAAAGATCAGGTATTAGTGTCTCGCTCTCTCGGGTGATATACTGTAGATAGCGTTATCTTCACATTCATCACGATTATATCTCGTTGATCAATTATTCCGGTTAGTCGTGCGATATTTGACGAATAACCGGGCGACTGGGATGACACCCAAGTCGCTCTGTCGTCGAGATGATCAATTGAAAATTTTCTTCATTCACTTTCGTGCATATCTCATAGTTGCGATGCTTTCTAACTGTTAGTTACAGGCTTTCCTCTTGTTCGTGCGGTACCACGTCCAGCAGTCGGTCTTCCCTTTTCTCCTTTCGAGACATACCTATATAATCTACCGGCGAGTAATCCATTATCACAAGGCATTATAAGATCCGACCGAGTTGCTTGACGCGAACCTCCGACAATTTTCCGAGTCGACCTCCCGACCTTCGCGGATGTCACGAGACAGGCATAGAGGGAAGATCGAGCCGGCTGAAACGTGACTCTCGACGACGGTCTACTTGTAACCGTGATGATCGTCGTCGTGGTGGGACTCGATGGGAACCCAAACTTTCTCCCAGACGGGCTTCCAGATCTTCTTCCAAGCTGGTACCTGCACGTCCTTCCAAACCGGAACCCACTTGCTCTTCCACTCGTCTTTCCACACCTGCTTCTTCTGCGTGACCCAGATCTGCTTCTTCTGCGGCACCCATACTTGCACCGACTCTTCCTGCCACACTAGCTTCTTGTCCGTCACCCAGATTTGCTTCTTCTCCGACTTCCAGATCTGCTTCCATTCGGCCTTCCATTCTAATTTCTTGTCGCTCACCCAAATCTGCTTCTTTTCCGTTCTCCAGACCTTCTTCCAGACCGGCTTCCATATCAGCTTCTTCTTCCAGAGATCGTGGCTGGTGTACTGCCAACCGTGATGATCCTTGCCCAAATTCTGCTCCCCCGGGATGCCGATTTTGATCCACTCCGGCACCCAGACCTTCTTCCAATCGGGCACCTGGACTTCCTTCCACACGGGAACTTGGACTTCCTTCCAAACGGGTTTCCATACCTTCTTCCAAGCCGGCACCTGGACCTCTTTCCAAGCTGGCACTTGAATCTGCTTCCAGACCGGCTTCTGGACCTTCTTCCAAGCGGGAACCTTGACCTCCTTCCACGCGGGTACTTGAATCTCCTTCCAAACCGGCACCTGTACCTTCTTCCACTCTTGCTTCCAGGTCAGTTTCGATTCCGATTTCCAGATCTGCTTCCACTCGGGCTTCCATACCAACTTCTTCTTCCACACGCCCTTCGGTCCATGGTCGTGCGCCGGAGGTCCATACGATCCGGAGGGTGGCGACGGCGGGCCGTAGGATCCCGAGGGCGGCCCGTAGGAATCGGAAAGCGAGCCACCGAAACCGCCGCCGCCGCCGCCTCCGTGACCGCCACCTCCGCCGTAACCGCTGTCATCGCCGCCGTGGCCGCCGTGACCGCCACCACCGCCGTAACCGCCGCCGCCGCCACCGCCGCCGCCGCCACCTCCGCCGTATCCGCCCGATCCGTGATGATCGTCGAACGATCCACCCCCGTGATCGTCACCGCCAAATCCTCCGCCGTGACCACCGCCAAATCCTCCGCCGTGACCGCCGCCGCCGCCGCCGCCGCCGCCGCCGCCGTACCCTCCGTGATCACCGCCACCGCCGCCGCCGCCTCCGAACCCTCCGTGATCACCGCCCCCGAGATCATACGATCCCCCACCGTGATCACCGCCCCCGAAGGATCCGTGATCGCCGGACGGCGCGCCGTACGATGACGAGGGGGGAGGAGCCCCATAAGACGACGAAGGCCCGGATGGTGCGCCGTAGGACGACGATGGCGGCGGAGGTGCACCATACGTGTCAGGGGATGGTGCACCGTACGAGTTCGAAGGTGGTGGACCGTAAGAATCGGACGGTCCTACGTCCGGTACTCCGTAGGACGACGCTGGTGGTGCGCCATACTGCGAGCTCACGGGAGGCCTACGGTATTTCTTCCGTTACAGCACATGGTAGTTCGATAAAAGCTTAAACGGTTCTGATGCCATTTAACATTACGTTGTGTGCAAACCCACACAGCACAGAAAGATTGCAGGAAGATTGCAGAAATGTTACATTGCAAGATTGCAATATTGCAGCAACGTTGCGCAACATTGCTGCAACGTTTCTGGAGGTTTGCAGCAACGTTGAAATGTCCGCCCTCAGAGAGACATTATAGCAATGTTGCAATGCAATATTTTTGGAATAATTTGTTGTTGTACACAAGCAGAGAATTTACTAATTACATATACATCCGGGCCTTTTTCAATGCAGAATAGCAAGCTATTGCGAACCAACCTAAGGAGGTTAAAGTAAGTATTTAATTGTTCATATACTCACTCTCTCTTTGTTCTAATCGGGTCTCCTAGCGCGGAGATAACAAAGAGGCCACATAATATTGTCTGAAAAAGATATTTCCATTAGCTTGATGATAAATGAGGGTCTGCATATATTAATTCGTTTGACGCTAATGATGAGTCGTGAAGAGGATAATTAAATATATTTTTGGAAAGGAGAAATAATTCTTTGTCTACGGGACACGTCGGACAGCTCCCTCCGCGGGAATAATGCGAAGATAAACGAGCGATAAATATCTACGCGAAAAAGCAGAGATACGCTAATTGCGCGATCTATCGTGCGAAAGAGCGAGTGCGATAATTAGTCTTCTTTCTCTCGTGCGCGTCACGGTAGCATAATTATCTCATCCTCGCAATCGCCCGCCATCAGCTTCCCGCCGGGTCTCGGGTCTTTTCATCGCGCGCGCGACGGAAATCCGCGGCGGATTTCTACGCGTTCACGAGCGCGTCTCTCAAAAATGAAAGTGTCCGCCGCCGTGCGAACACACGGCCGCCGTAAACACCGGCGAATTGGGTCGACCCCCCATCCTCCTCCCCCCTCCCCGTTGTTTTCGCGTCTCCAGAAGGGGCCGTCGGGATCGTGAAACCTGTACCGGTGGTTAAATTAAAGGAAAGTGGGCTTCGAGATTCCTCTTTTCTTTCCTTTTTTTCTCTTTTCCGTCAAGTATTACCCTTAGGCGGTACGTGTCACCTGTATTCAGCCCCGCGGCAACGAGCTATCAAGCGCTTTAGTCGTCCCACTTGTCTCTTTCTTTCTCTCGCTCTCACGTTCTTTCGCAAGAATTATTCTGGAACCGTTTGACTATTTACCCACACTTAGATACACGGAATGTCCCGGCTGTACCAAGCGCCCGCCTTTCATCTACAAATTTCTCGATCTGCATGTGAAATTGAGCCGGCTAAAAATAACGACGGGCACCAACGGTTTTTAAAAGGTAAGCCGTTGAATGCAAGGAACTTAATAATTAGATGTTAAATATTTAAATGTATCAAAATGCCTGAGTATCCTTCTATCGAGATATTTAGGTCTTATCAACGGTATTACAAAGTGTCTCAATCAGTGGTCGAACATTCGTCACGAGGTGTCAAAGTTAAGAACAGTCGCGAGCCTCTGCCGCGCTTACGTTTATCGCGCCGGATATTGCCGTAACTTATCAACAGAAATTTCAGTAATTACGCGTTATTACATACTGATGAAACGTCACAGATTCACCTCTTCTCAGATTAACATAACAATAATAATTGTTTGCATATTATCTACATACATAATAATAACCTTGGCTCACTCTCATTTCAAATCCGACTCTTTACACGATCACTTTGCATACCTACATATTATATTATTTTACGTTGACATTGGCATGTGAGATTACCCACTGATTAATTCGCTTTATCTTTATTGTCTTGATCTAGTCGGGTACGCCTGTAGTCACGTTTCCGCTTGTCTATGAGAGAAATCAGAAAAACGCTATCTCTACACCGCTACTCTAATTAAATACCGACACATGTTTAAATAACGGGACACGAAGATACCGCGATTTTAGCTTCATTTCTTCAATAAGACATGATCTCATTGATGAAAATGAAAAGATCGTAAGAGACTACAAGCTTATTATCACGTACATTATCACTGCATTATCTATAAGGATAGTATCTCGTATGAATGTCCAAGATATACTCCGCGAAAAAATAAGAACAT